AGTATATAATTATGTAGTACGAAGCATTTTAGTGTTGAACGCTCTGCAAGGCTAAAATTATTTTCTAAACGAAATCAAATATTTCATCATAATCACGTGTTATGACGTCCGATCTCATAAAAACTGCATCAAACATTCATTCAATCTTTATGTGACTTATGTGCAAAAAAGATTTGCAATCGGATAAAAGACGTTTATGCACTAGCGTTCCAAAAGTGGAAGGTAGCGGTCAAGCGTGAGGGGGTCGAGCCACCTTAAGTCATATTAGCCATTTGAGGTTGAGGACAAAAGTTGGCTGTGGGGCAGTTTCAGGGGACATAGTTCCAAGATGGCGTCTATTTTGTCCCTTAAAACATCCCCAAAATGTATTGCAATGCCAACTTCGACCCATTTCTTTCCATGGCTAAAAAAAACTAATTTACTCGCATCAGTGAGTGCGAAAAGAGATATTGAGGTTATAGCCTTATAGTGAAGATCTCCTAGGATTGAATTAGAATTTAGTAGTTGATTTTTGCGGAGGGAGGAAAGCCGGAGAACCCGGAAAACCCTCGAAGCACAGGAGAGAACCAACAAACAACTAAACTCACCAAGGGCGGATCCAGGGGGGAATGGGGGTGCAAAGGGGGGCTGAACCCCCCCTTCAGTTTTTCGTTGTGTTAACGGGAGAATCTCAATTACCCCCCCTCCCCAAAATTTTGGCTGGATCCGCCCTTGCTCACATACAACACCGAGCTCGTCGGGACTCGAAACCGGGTCACCACCCATGCTTCCCATGCTAAAAGCAAGGTATTGATATATAAAAGAGGCGGCCGGGATAACGAGAGTAAAATTGACAGCCATATGGACTTCTGATCCATATCCTACATATCTTGTAGAAGATAGATCGGAGAAGCATCTAAAAGCAATTGGAAAGATGGATGATTCCAACTAACGAATACATAAATCAAATAAGCGACAATCACTGTTTGAATTTGCACTTTAAACTCACCTAAACCTGATCTCAGAATTTTTCTTGCTGCTGAAGTTGTATGCATTTTCCATTGCTTCGATATGAGACAAAGGCAGGGGATTACCAGCCGTCTGACACAAATATATAATATGTGAATAAATGAATAAGTTAAGGAATGAGCATCCCGAACAGGCCATGCTAAAAGACATCGAGATTTCAAATTCAAAACTTGTCTCGTTGTATACATTTATTTCAATAAAGTTAGTCACCAAAAACCTAGAAAGCTGTGATCGCTGAGAATCATGGGGAATATTTCATATTCAACAAGTAAAGGTTTCGACACAAACTTCAGCAGTTGAGGATGCTTAGAGGAGGTGAACTTGTAACTGGTAAAAGATCTCAAGTCCATCAACAGTTATCAAGCGGTTGAAACATGTAAAATGTATCTACCCATAATCCTTGCCGGTTTTATCTTTGTAGCTTTTCAGGTGACTAACTTTATTGAAATAAGTGTATAGGACTGTAGTATTGAATTTGGAAACAACGAAATCAAAGCACTAAGCCAATCCGGGTTCAAAATGATTTCTGTCTCACAATCCTATGAAAAACCAGGTTGTTGCCCATTTTCCTTTTAAATTCGGAAAAGGGGAGATGACTAACTTAAAAAAATCCCTAGTAATGATAATACTAACATGATACAACAGCTGGGCCAGGAACTCAATGATTTGTGCAGAAGAAAATCCCTCTATATCTTTGGATGAGAATGTAGCAAGATCTTCTGGGGAGGCCTATTAACAAGGAAAAAAAAAGCAGAGTTATTCGACCGGGATATAGGAGAGTGTAAAGCCCCGTTTACACTGGCGATTTTTGCGGCGATTTTTGCGGCGATTTTTTTTTGCGGCGATTTTTTTTTTGCGGCGATTTTTGTGGCAATTTTTGTGGCAATTTTTGTGGCAATTTTCGGAAATATAAAATATTTTGCCTCATCCTTCAAAAGAGACATTCGTCTATGAAAATCTTGGTATTCTGATAAAACTTTACAAGTAAATTCTTTACCATTATTAATTATGGACAAAATCGCAAAAACATCGCAGCAAAAATCGCTAGTGTAAACGGGGCTTAACGTCGATGAAGAATATATCTAGCTTCCTTTGGGTGCATGTTTTCTCTTGTAGTTTTTCGCGGACTTCAGTCGCTCTTTTAATTTAATTACCGTTCTAATTCTTGGAAAGTTTTCCTTTACGTAGGAAAACAAAAATCCACAGACATGACTATGCTTCTGCGAGACTTTTAAAGTGCATGGAACGTTCTCTTTCGTCTTGGCTGATATTCATCCAAATTTACTATGGTTTGAGGTAAGCTACGGACACACGGTGCAACATTGCGCGCAATGTTGCATGCAATTGATGTTGCGAGCCATGACAAACAATATGTTGCACGCAACGTTGCTAAAGTAGGAAACTATCCTACTTCAGCAACATTGCCTGCAATGTTGCGCGCAATGTTGCACCGTGTGTCTATGCCTTTAATAGTTTTTGAAACAATAAAAGCCAAATAAACCCAAACGCCTGAAAGTTATCTTCAGTTTTGTAATTACCTTAATCCATCGCTGACATAACTTCGTACAAGCATCCGCTAACGTAGAGTCATACCTAATAAGATGGAATTATTTGTGATATCAAAAGTGAATCGTAACGGGATCCAGGAAGATTTCAAGGGATGGCTCTAACATAGAAACTATTTTGTAACTTCCTTTTCAGATTTTACATTAATCTTCATTTTTGAGGTGCATGTAAAGTCATAGTCACTATCTTAGTTGACGATAACAAAGCATTCCTCATTAGCTTCTCTTGTTAGATCAACCAACATGGCGGCAATATTATCGTTATTTATATCTCAAGGAATTTTGAGTCGTGGTTGCACCCCAATAATTGTTAGTTTTATGACCTGAAAAGAAGGTGGACAGCCACCCAAACCATCCCTCTCTTTGTCCGTCTTCTTTCCAAGTATAACGCGTCGAAAGAGTAGAAAAACTGCCGGTTTCCAAAGGCAAATATGAAGTCGTTTCAAGTGGAGAGACGAAGTTAAATAAAAACATACCTTTCAATCATGTTTACTGGTGGCATTCCTGGTTTATAAAGCCAAGCATCCCAGTCTACAGATTCCAGGACATCGGCCTTAAGACAGAAAAACGCTTTAGAACAGGGGCTTAGTGGGGGCTGTTGGGGTCAGGTCTGGGGGCATATCTTAAATTTCCTTTTTGCCTTTTTTGTCGAGTTTTTTTGTGGATTTGGCGGGAATTTTCGCGCCAAAACGCGTGTGCTCGCCCCTCCAGCTCTGGTACTCTCTCTACGCCACTGCTTTATTAGAATATGAGTCCACAAACACAACGGCCAGAAAACACTAACAACAACAACAACAAACAACTAGCAAAAATTACCTTGTCCTTAAAGTAGTCCATCAGGAAAGCCTTCCATTCATCTGTAGTTGCCGTCTTGTACTTGTGTTCTTCGATGTATTTACGAAAGAATGGTTCGAACACCTCTAAAAAAAGACACAAGAAAGTACTACGCATTATAAAAAAATCGAAAGCTCGAATTACTATGGGCTTTCCTTTTTCGCAATTTAAAAAAAAAAAAAAAAAAAAAGGCTGGTGAAAGTTTTGTACGCGTTAAATACCAAGAGAGCATAAATGAGAGAAAGCTTCTTCTTAACAACGCGCGCGCCAGGTAAATTCCTAGCTGGACTATTTTTAGTAACCGAAAACAGTTTAAATTTCGCCTTACCCTACTCCCGTGCGTCATCAACTTGCGCACGCGCGTAATTTGATGACGCAAGGGAGTAGGGTAAGGCAAATTATAAACTGTATCCGGTTACTAAAAATAGTCCAACCGGGAATTTACATGGCGCGCGCGTTATTAAGAAGCTTCCCTCTTATTAATTTTCTCTTGTAAATACTAAGAACGAAATGTAGTTATAATTTTAACAAATAGACATCAGTTTTTTATGTGTCTGTCCTCTTATTGACGATAAATTGCGTCATCACATTGTCAAAACAGAGTGGATTCACAAGGCGTAGCAGAGTGGATCCGCATACTACTTTTTTACAATAACAAAAACGATTAAAACTTCTCATTTTTAGCGATCAAAACCACCAACGGAAAGATCACGCGCTCATTGACGTCAGCTTTATCTTTTTGCCCTCTTATTGATGATAAAAAATATCCAATCAGCGCAGGAGAAATTTGTAAGTTATTATCAAAATAATTATGTAACTCCATTTCAGAATCGTATAGTTATGTACACTACACCGAAGCAAACAATACGTCCAAGAATCGTGAACGTTGTAAAAGTAAAGTCTTCAGTTATTACAGAATGTAGATGTAACTCCATTTTAGAATCATATACATTTATTTCAATAAACGTTGTCTCGTTGAATACGAAGAACATTGAATCAGTCTCAACACTAAAGGTCCATGTTCTTGACGAGAATAAGAAGAGAAACACAAGTCATTCCAGCTATTCTTGGATCTTGGAAAGATCTATCTCCTATCGCTTTTCGCCTATCACCTTTGGCGATGACAGCGTTTTCTTGAATAGGTGTAGCCACACTCCAGAGAAGCCTGCATCCATGTCTTATCCCAGAGATCTAAAGATTTCGATAGTCAGAAAAACTTATGCAAAAGTTATTGATAATAACTTGTCTCTCACCTGGTCCACCAACAAGTTGCTCCAGATAAAACAAGAAACACGACCCTTTTTCGTAAGGTACACTGGAGAACGCATCATCGGGGTCCGAGTCCTTGAGGCTGACAACAAGCTGTGTCAGAGGACTGTCTTCACCAAACTTAGTAACCTAAGAAAATCCAGTATACGTATGAAGATTAATAACAAGAACAACGAGAAACAGGAACCTTTGTCGTAAGGGACATTCGAAAACTCATCATCAGAGTCTGTGTCTGTGTCTCAATCATGCATCGACCACATTTAGACACTTTAACAAACATTTTAAACTTATGTTTTGACGCAAAAAGAAATCATGTCTCGATGAATTATGAAAGTTGTAAAATATAATTTCAATACTTACAGAATCATTTAGAGTTTTCCAGCCACCTTAAAGGAAAAAAGAATATTTCTTATATTTCTTAAATCAATTATGACGTTAATCATATCCTTTTTGTAATTACTACCAAATCCTGCAATCTGATTGGTTCAAAGGAGTGTGTTTAATTCCCAAACAAAATAAAACAAAAAAATCAAAAAAAAAGTTTTTTTAGATTTGTTTGTTTGTTTGCATTTAGTTCTTCTACTACATTAAATTGATTATTCTGCACTCTTTATTGTGTCTTTTTCTTGTGTATGATTACAAAAACGATATGATTAAGTGGTAATTGAACTTCGTGTCGTGCAATTTTGGTCTGAAATCAAACTTGCAATTACAAATCTTTTGTAATCGCGCGTTTGGTTTCAGACCAAATTGCACTCCACTCAGTTCAATTACCATCATTAATTATTGTAATTGTTGAGATTGGTACAATCAACAAGCGAATAGAACATTTGCATTCTATTTCTGATATAGATAAATTTAAAAGACAGAACAATATAATTTCACTCTCATAAAAATTAGAATCCATAGTGTTCTACTTCAAAATATGATGGTCTTCAAAATCAACGATTCTGGAATTGGCTTCAAATTTTCTATCAAATACCTATGAATCCAAATTGTCTCATTTGTTCGCCATGCATTCGTCCGATAATTTTTCTTTCAAGAAACACTGTAAATCCTTCATTCAACCTGGGGAAAAACGAAAAAAAAAATACTTTAAGTCTAGAGGTGGTTACAGTTTAGAAGAGCAATGGCGGATCCAGGGGTGAAAGTTAATTTGAATGGCTTGACACCTCACTTTGGAGTTTTAAAAATATGGTTAAACGCCAAAGTACAACATAAAATGAAGCCTTATGCTGGCTTACTAATAGTAATTCAGAGGCAATCCCCGCTGAAATTATTCTGGAACCCCTACTGGGGACTCAAAGTGCATTTTCAAAGGCACTCGTTGCCTGCGTAGCCAGGCGTTCTTCGTGGGGGATTGGGACGGAGAGAGGAAGAGAGAGGAAACGTCTGCCAGCAGCCCTTGTGATTTTGAAAACCCGTTCCTCTCTCTTCCTCTCTCCGCCCCCAATCCCCCACGAAGAACGCCTAGCTACGCAGGCTAAGGCGCTCGTATTCAAGCAGAATTTCGGATCGAAATGAATATGAAAAATAAGCAAAATGCAGAATGCTGTTTGATTGATGTTTTTCCTCACCAGAAATGCTCCCAGGTTCGGTTGGTAACCAGGTTACCAGTCCAGCTGTGGGATATTTCATGAGCAACCACCTTGGAAGAGAAATAACAGTAATGGATGAATGTACCATAGGCACAACCAGCATAACAACAACAACGATGACAACAACAGCATCATCAAAAACAACGATAACGACAACAACAACAACAACAACAGTAGAAGCAGCACCCACCAATCCTTTAAATTTCATCAATACCCTGAAACAACCTCTGGGCTGATCAATGTTAGGGCACTCATAGATCGAATTACAATTTAGCTCGTTAGGTGTTGCGAGGGGAGGAAAACCAGAGAACCTGTTGCATCATGGGAAAGATCTAACAATTTCTACTCACATGAGATGTCGAGTTCGGTAATCGAACCCGACACCCCAGAGGTGAGAGGTGAGTGCGCTGTAGCTACACCGCCCTTAATAGGCCCTTTGCAGTTAACGGTCACGTGTCTGTACTGGAGGGCAAAATTTATGTTTTCATATTAGAATGGTGATTCTTTTAAGCTACTTGTAAAGAACTGAATGAAGCGATGTGTAACCAGTGTGTTACGAAATGCAGTTTTATTACGATCTCTCGAAACAGGTTGTAGAAAGTGTGTTTGCTCACCAGTATATTTCACCCATGGGAATCAAGATGTTTATTCATTTGCTTTCAGAGAATCAGCACGTGACTGCTTAGCTGCAAAGGGCCTATTACCAATGACAACATGAACAGAAGCAGCAATAGCAACAGCAGGAATAACAACTCGCAGCAACGACAAAACAGCCAGCTAAGAGAGCAACAGCTACAACAACGCAACAAAAACAGCAGCAACAACAGCAGCAGCAACAACAGCAGCAGCAACAACAGCAGCAGCAACAAC